AAAAAAAAAATCTATGTATACTTAGTTCTCAAGTCTTTCACTTCATGGTTTGATACATAAGCGGAATATTTCTCTTTTCCACAGAAAAATCATTTCACATCAACAGTACTAGTGATTTGAAACAATTAAAATACTACACAATCCAAGAATGAGCAGGACGAATACTTAAAATTCAGCAATTTAAATTGATCATGTACATCATTTTATATCGCATGTATACCGTGGCATGTCATACACACAAATAGTAAATGCTATAAAATTAAATTTTCAAGGCTGTAATTTATTATGGACTCTAAAAAATGCATAAAATATAAAAAATGCTCTTCTTTGACTGTTTATAATAAGATTTGTGTTTTCTGTCCCCTTTTGTAGATCCGTTAAGCGTCGGCGATGTGTATTGCAGCTGACCGACTTTAGCGTGGGAGAGACGCGATCTCGGCTGCTTCCTTTGATGTGGCGAGAATGTGACGTAGTATTTGAAGTTCTCGACAAGCAAAGCGTCAGCTCGTCACAAACAATGTAATCTGCAAAAAGCTCTATAAGTTTATAACACGAATAATCCTTATAATACATAATTTTTGTACTATTCAAACAATTCAACAAATTCAAAAAAGAAAATTCATCATTGTTTCGTTTTATTTAATTGACTCTGTAAACGTTCTTTAAAGTAGGCATGCAACTTTTGGCAAGCAACAACTATTTATCAATAGACCAATGTTGCGTCCGTTTTTTAAAGTAACTCTTTGATAATGTTTAATGCAAGTTGAGATCTTTGGAACCGCTGGAACCGCGATGTTTTCTCTTTCTGAAAAATAATTTTACAAGAGAGGTTTTACTGAAGTTGAGGATGTTGTAAGAAATGAATGTCAGTTTATTAACAGAAATAACAATTCGAGTAATAGGGACTAAAGGTCAGTAAAGAGATAGATCATGTAAACATATTAATTATACCAGGAGTATTTCTTTAGTATATTTGAATTACCAGATAAAATGATGTTCGAAATTGTTGTTTTTTTTAAATTGCCGAATACAACATGGATCAATAAACCATTTTATTTTAAATTTTGCAGCGCTAAATCATAAAAGCAGGAGTATGAATCATATGAACACGAGCTAAATCTCCAAATATAGCAGTTATTTAACTCCGCGTGATTCTTGCTGTAATATTAACTAGATTTAGGGGATTGGGAAGCTAGGTTAACACATGCTCCACATACACAAAAATCAGTCTTTTACGTAAATATCATGTGATATTTAGATAATTACTTAGTTCTGTATCAAAATAAACCTTGTATGGAATGACATAACCTTCACAATACTGGGTGGTAAGATTTGATTTCTCTACAGATAAAATCTGACAATTTAATACGAAACAAAACTTTGTCACAACAATATAAACACATTAAATGACAGCAAAATATCATTCAAGCATTTAGCGTGAGTTAGCATGAAAATCAGCACTATAGCGGCCGATTATGCGTTAAATTATCCAAACAGTGTAAATAAAAGCATGTTAAATGTTTAGATTTCCACTTTTTTCCTATTCATATTAACCACTGGCGGATTTATTTCCGACAGCATAAAAAGACACCCTAAACTATTTATACTAGAGATAAAATACTGAGTATGTACCATAAAATAATGAACTGTAAAAGTTCAGGCGACAAAAAAGATATAACCCGTATTCCAGTGTTTCTTGAGTATAGTTTATATACAAATGACTTGTATAAACGACGGGGGGGGGGGGGGAATTCAAACTTTAAAATACTTTTTCGTCGGGTGGGAGGGATGATAGCTTCCAAATTGTCTTTCATAACCAACGTTTATGAATTTAAGAGCATTTGTTACGAAAAAACACGCTTCCCTTCCTAATTGGGATACCACAGCTTGCCTGGGAGATACTTTTATCAGCATCCTCCGGGCAGAAAGAGGTTTTCATCTTTTGATTTGACTTGAAAATATATGCAATGAAGCATTCAGATTGAACAGAAAGCACTGTCTTTAAAGCCCTCAATTGTTGAATACAGAGCTAAGATTTTATCTATTATTATCTTTTGAGTTGTTTAGTCCACATTTGTCAACATTTCAGGGTCGAAAACTGGGCTGTATATCACAGAATCTATTGAATGACTTTAGTTATATAATTAAAACTTAGGTTTTGGCCTTCCTCTGCACCAAAATTTTTTGTCATCTTAATGTTTATGAAGCAAATATGATTCTTTTACCAAGATTCAACACTGCAATGAGAAGTTATGTATAACACGGTAAACCTACATTGTATTTTAAAATGTTTGGACGAACCCCACACAACAAATGCAATGGACTAAAAGTGAACAATCTGCCATGACATACTTGTATTTGAAACATAAGCTTTTATTTACACTTACAGAAACAGATTGAATGCTACACCCCCGATGTACAGGCTTACAAAGATAGGTAACTCCAAAATAAGACCTTTCCAAGTTGAGAAAGGTCGCTTTACTTAGGTGTAACTTTTTCAAGTAATGGATCTTTTGTTACAATAAAACTAAGCTACTTGAGCAAGGTAGGAAAGCTATGTTCAGTTACTCAAAAAAGTAAGATATTTGGATTTGCCCTTAGATATTCAGCTGAAACTATTTGACTGTATGGTTACACCCATATTACTTTATGGCTGGGAAGTATGGGGATTTGATAATAACAATGTCATAGAGAGTTTATATTTACAATTTTACAAAATAATTCTAAATCTGAAAAAATCTACCCCTAATCAGGTTTTATATGGTGAACTAGGACGATATCTAGTAGAAATATTTATTAAGTCGAGAGTTATTGGATTTTGGCATAGACTTGTTTGTGGTCAACAAGACAAAATATCTTTTCTTTTATATAAATTGTTATTAAAACTTAGAGAACATAACTTAATGCAGTCTAAGTGGATTAATTATGTTGAAAAAAACACTAAATGATTGTGGGATGTCTGAGTTATGGTTACAACAGTTTTCTCCAAAGAAAATATTGGTGTCAAAATTGGTAAAGAATAGATTAATTGATCAATTTAAGCAGAATTGGTATGCCTGTATTTTTGAGATGCCAAAAACCTTTAATTATAGGATATTTAAATTAGAACATTATTTTGAAAATTATTTGATATATCTACCAAAGGATTTGAGAAAAGCTTTATGTAAATTTAGATGTATGAATCACAGATTTCCTATTGAAAAGGGTCGATTTTGGGGAGTTGATAGAGATGATCGTATTTGTTATCTTTGTTCCTCTAACAATTTAGGAGATGAATTCCACTACCTTTTAGAATGTTCTTTTTTCAAGAGTGAACGAAAAAAACTTGTTCCAAATATTTTTTATACTAACCCTAATGTTATCAAATTTCATGACTTATTAAATTGTAAGGATACTAAAGCTATTTTTGGGCTTGCCAAATTTTGTAAAATTTTATTGTCAGTAATATGTTAATAATACCAAAACTACTGTGTAACAAATGTTATAATACATATAGTTTTATTTTGTATAAGCAGAGGCCTTCTATACTTCATTATTTGAACTATACATTGTACATGTAAATTGTAAATAGCATTTGTGCCACTCATTCCTTCATGCATTCTTGTTTTTTATCTTGTATTATTTGTATTCATATACCCCAGCTGGGGTCTTCGTCGTAATAAAAACTTGAAAAAAAAAACTTGAAACTTTGTCGCTTTCGATTTTGATCATATATAACGTCTTCTGAACATTTAGAGGGATGAATTCCATTATGTTTTAGAAAGTGCATCATTTTATTTAAAGAAATACCAAATATTTATTTTATGAATCCTATTGTAAAATTTCTCGACCTTCTGTAAGAGCAGCTAGAGCAAACACAGACCTCCAAAACAACAGAGGTGGGATCAGGTGCCATGGAGGAGTGAGCATCCCCTGCCGACCGGTCACACCTGCCGTGTGCTCCTTGTCATGAACGGGAAACGAAAAAATCCGTCCATAATTAAAGGGTTACGATAGGGTCAAGGTAAGTGTTAGGGTTTACATGGTAAAGTTATAGTGTTAGGTTTACGATTCTATTAGATTACGATGTGGATGGTAATCTTTCAATGTTAGCTTTATTATTTAACAATTTAACTAAACATTTATCAAAGATTCTTAATTTGATTAAAATGTGGTTTTTGTTCAAATGTCTGTGAATACGCGATCTCAAGAAAATTGGAGCTGTAAATTTCAACATCAGCCGCTGCAGCATCTAATAGTGGGCAGAGTCAGACGCCATTTGGACATCGGCAAATATTATCATGCACCTGGGACAAAAATTAACATAATACTCGCCGATCACGGCAATGCCTACAATAAAGGTACTGTACTCTACAAAACAGAGAATTTGTCAAATCTTTATAAGACAATTTAAAATGAAAAAAAAATCTTTATTTTGTAGATGAACATCACACTTTAGTTAGCAGGTTGATGCATGTATATTAAAATGAAAAGGACGACTTAATTTATGTCCAAGCTCCTGGTCTTGGTAAAATAAAAATACATATGTAAATAAAAAGAAGGGTATTTTAAATCGTGTTCTTATGATCGTTCATAATCGGTCTACCAAAATGTGATGAATGACGCGAATCTAAATAATTAACCGAGGAACCTGGCCACGTGCCCTATTTTTAATCACCTTCTTGAGATCAAGTGTCCATTGTATAAACACACGATGTTTCTTTGTTGCATGGAGACTCATAAACGATATTCTACATGAAGCGTCTTAATCATTTGAGAATTTATTGAAAATAACTTGTACTTTTTTACTTGAATGGGAAATATCAAATCAAACTCATCATGGAATATACATGTATTTTAAAAATAATAATATATACATGATATATAGCACATGTATGTTTTGAAACATCAACAACATGAAATTAAAATAAATAACAACGATCAAGTTCAGTCTTTGAAAACGTAACAATTTGTTAAGATATGAACAGTTCAATATATGTTTTTTCAGACCTCCTGAATCATATGTCCAATTATTAAATGTTGGCACACCGGTGTAAATTTTTTGAATTTATTATAACAGAGGTCTAAATGTCTTTGGTATTGGATTAAACCATGTCCAGGGAATGCTCCACATCTTCTATATCAAATACATGCGCCCTCTTTCCGATCTGTCGCCATTGGTTTGGTTTCATTAGGTTGTCATCATTAGTAGGTTTATAAGACGGAGAGTCTGCCAAAAAGTCACTCTCTGGCACCGGATCCACAGAAAAGGACGATTCTTTCTGTCGACTATTTCCCGCCCTCTCATTAAAAACTACAGCTGTCGGTAACGCCGCAGCTGCCGGTGGTGGCGCTTTTTCTACTAAATCGACGTCACGCGCAGTGGTCACGGACTGAACCGTATTGGTGGGGGAGGAGGGAGTATTTTTAGGAAGCGGTTCCACTACTGCATTCTGTGTTGCTTTGTTCGCGTCAGCGTCAGACTTCCCTGCTTCAGTTTTCGGTTTCAGTTTGCCAAACAGACCACCTGCAGCGCCACCTGCCCCGTTCTTATTTTTGACTTTCCTCAGCCACTTATTGGCAGCCATATGTGTAGTTAGGGTTGCATCTAATTTCTTTTTTCCCGGAGTCTTGAACATGGCTTTGTCTATTTTGTCCATGAAATTTGAAACGGACTTCCGGGCTGTGTTGGCCTTTTCTATTACTTTTTCTGGCATTGTTTCTTTATAACCCTCTCGATACTTCCGATTGTGTGCAAGGTAAATGATAGGTTTCGCGCAGTAACTGACCATAAAAAAGATAACAGTTATGCTGTAATATCCGCCCCAGATATCATCTGAATCGGCGTAGTCCGCTATGTTGATGGCAAAGTATGGACCGTGACAGACCAACATCGTCACCCACACGATGAGATACGTCACAAACATGTGAAGGTCAGGGTCGCCGTTGTCTTCTTTCAAAGAAAAGATTTTAGTTACCTTCGCTTTAGTTACTGCTTTCTTTATCTTTTTACGAGCAGCCATCAGCGCTAGTTTATTTCTCGGCGGTTTTCCCTTCCCTCTTGTTGATGCACCGATGCCCGTCGTGGACATGGTCTTTCCAGGAGCCTCGCTTGAGCTGGCATTTTTGGCTTTGGTTTGTGAGAGAAGTGATCCGAATCCCCCACCGCCTCCGTTCAGCTTTGCTTTTTCATCCGGTTCCTCTTTGATTGAGGTGACGCTGTTCTTCTTGACGTTTGCTTCTTGTGCAGCTTCCTGCTTTTTGTGCTTAAAGATCTTAACGACTGTAACGATACATATTATGATTGAAGCTACCATTCCGAACATTAGGACGATAATAGTGTAATAGATATTATCATCCAAATTAATCACACAAGCTGCATGATAAAAATTGTATGAAATCGTAAGCCATGGCGTCAGGGCTACGCCTGTGACGAGCGCGGTTAAGATCCACACAAGAGCTGAAATAAGTGATACAACACGAGAAGAATTAAACACTTTGACGTACAGATCCGTATTGGTGATCTTCACCATTCTCTCGACGAACATCACTGAAAGTAATCCAAAGGTCACTAAATGGAACCAGATGATGAGTCCGGCGTGAACGTAACAGAAATAATCGGTGAGATACCAGGTCTTGGCAAAGGCCGCCACCATGGACGGGAAGAGAATGAGGAAGACCGCGATCAGATCCATCACAGAGAGTTCCAGAACGAAGCGGTTACAGGGGAACCTCAGCATGTTCCTCTTCCTGAGGGTGATGATCAGGAGGATGTTGAGGACGAGTGCGACGATAATCACGATGACGATGACCGTGCCCAGTAAGTAGGGCAGCACCTCGTCCTGGAACCATTTGAAGAACGACCCTCCGAAAGAGCTAACGATGGATGACGACATTTTTCAACAACCTTGGCTTCTTACTACATGTCATCCATAGGTAGGTGAGATGCACATATAGATTATATGTGCTTTTTTGTTCACCTTGATTTCGCTAATGGAATGAAAACCTTTGCAACGATTTAAAAATTATTCTCTTTTATTAATAAATCTTTAATCTTTGTCCTAATCAGCTAACAATGTTCACCTGATTAAGGTTAATATTTAATCATAAGTCTCTTGAGCTATTTCTTTTCTCCCTCATAAAAACAGGTCAGGGATTCCATTTAAAACCCTATTTTGGACACAGATTGAAGAAGTATCTTTATCTGATTTTGAATTCCAACACCAGAATTTAACTCATTTCTGGATGATTGGTGTCCTAGACTCGTCTCCCATTTTCAAAAATATCAGTCCGTCAACTCTTCTTGCGGTTTTCGATAACACTCTCTTTGCTCTGGCGACTCGTGTTTTTAAACTTTCTGGTACCCCATCGGATGTGGCTTTTCTGAACAGATGGTTATGAGACATAAACACGATAGGTTTTATACAGTAGCTAACATCACAAACGATCACAAGAACAGAATATACCCCGCCCCAAACGGAAATGACGTCATACACGTCCAAGTACCAAACAATTACGTAAGGAAGCCATAGCATAATTACTATGACCCAAATTAACATGTAAGTGGCGGCAAGATGGAAGTCCACATGTTCTTGTGACCTTTTGTAAACTGTGACAGCTACTCGCCTCGATTCTAAAGTCGTCTCGTCCCCCGCCAACCCGTCTTTCATCAGCTTATTCTTCATTTCGTTCTCAGAGCGAGTCGTCCTTGACCCGGAGACTTCGGTTACTGGAGAAACGGAATTTCTGGAGCGAGGTCGCTCAGTTTCTTCGTTGGCTACTGTAATACTGTTCTTTGAATTTGGCCGCTCGGTATAAAGGGAGTTGTCTGTTGGCGTTTCTCGGGTTGTTTGTGAATCCATGGGAGATACCGCGTGTCGTACTTCTATCTCAGTGGACGTTAACACTCTGTTTACACTCTCTACCTCTGGCAGAGATTGTGCCTGGTCTCCGACGATTTCACCAAGTTTGATTTCCTCTGTCACCCCGCCTGATTGGGTCTTTCGTTGGACTTTTACGTTGACATTATTAACGTAGGAAGTCAGTGATTTAAGGCTGGTTAAAAGTTCTTTTCTTTGTAGAAAAGTACCGACGCTGAATAAGAAAGACGTTAAAGCAGGAAGAAACATTCCAAAGATAAAAATAAGATTCATGTTGATTTTGTTTTTATCATGGTTGACGTTACATCTGTTCTGTGAGGATATGTACTCGAGTTTCCCCCATCCAGCCACTGGTAGAACACTCCCGATAAACGTCACTATCCACGTGACAATGCTGGTAATGACGCATATACATTTATTTCCAAAGAAACCGTCATGAACACTAGGATTGTTTAATTTTAACATTCTCTCTGCGCAAAGGAATGTTAAAAAGATGAATAAACATATGAAACAAGTCGTTCCCACCGCGCCAGAAATTTGGCAAAGTGCGTCTGACAAAATCCAGTCTTTTGCAAATGACGTAATAATGGCGGGAAAAATAACAAACACATAAGCCACAAAATCTAGCACCACCAACTGTAGAAAAAGGTGGGTACATAGAGCAGTGACCCTCTTCTTTCGCACCGCATGAATTGTCAGCCCGTTTAAGACTACTCCACACAGAAAGATACAGAGAAGAAGAGTTCCGGAAATGATCGGTAGGACGTCTTTCTCCAGCCACCTTAAGTACGGACCACTAAAGGCCTCCACAGTATCCGCCAAACTCGAAGTATTCGACATTTTCCTCTGACGGTGGAAATAACAAGTATAAAAACTGTCTACATTTTAGTGTCTTTTAATATGTATTGATAGCTGAAATTTTAATTTCTTTCGTAGGACATAATACGTTAGAAAAACATTTTTTGTTCATTTAAATGGTACAAGTAGATCTGTCAATATTTAGAATCACCTTTGAATAAAATGCTAAAATTATACATTAAATGTATAAAACTTTCCTCAGAATTTATCAAGACTGTTGAGAAGTTTATTAGTCCTTGCATGAACGATTGTTTTGTCTAGTTTTAACAATTAATGTTGATCTTTAGCGTGTTAAAGTTAATAACGAAATAAGACTTTACAAATTAATTCTTGTCAGCAAATAAGAAAACCTAGCAAGGAAGTTAAAATTTTTGTTGGTACAAAAACTTAAAAATTCTTCTTTTTTTTAACGTTAACTCTCTTCTGCTATCCCCGTGAAACGATCTACGCGTTATACCGTGTGGTACTCCTCGGCAATGATCGATCATTCCAAAATTCAAGCTCCGCGGCGTTTATAGTTCCGAGTGATCTCGACTTAAAGTCTGATACATAGGATCCTCTACTATTACACAAAGGTTCAGAATGACGCTTAAAATGAGAATTTTGAAAGTCCGGATCACTATTGTATTTCTGGCTTGTCTTGTTATATTGGATGCCCAAATCGAAACAGTCTGTGATTGAATTAGTAGAAAATAGAGTTGGTTTGGAAACCACATACTTGTTTTCTTGTTTTTTCAAAGAATATGACATTTTTCTTTTCAATGTAAATAATCGCAGATTGATTAATAAAACTGTTAATATGAAAATTAACACAAAACCAACAACAACTGTAAAGTACGTTGATATCTGATAAATCCCAATTTTCGTTGAGTCTAAAACAGAGTGGCCCTCTACAGCTGTTTGCGTTTTGTTGATGTTGGTCACTGAAGTTTTTCTGTTGTTATATTCAGGTAATGCAGTATATGATTTTATCCCTGTTCCTTCGTGGTTTTCTATGTTAGATTGTTCTGTCTCTGTAGCCATTGTCTTGACAACCCCCGGGCTGGTCATCCTAAGACCCTCGCCTTGTGTTGGTTCCGTTGTGTGGTTTCTTTGTGGGAGGGGGATAGTGTCATTCAGGTTATTCGTTCCATTTTCTTCTGGATTTTCATCTAAAATTCAGGCAAAACAAAAAAATACGACACTATTTATACATATTTAAAGCTTTATGCGAAGTGGGATATGTCCATAAATAAGTCAGTTTCAAGGTTCATAGCGGTTTAAGGATTGAACTAAGTAAAATTCGTCTAGAAGTACCGAATCGAAATACAAATATTAGAAAGTTTACATTGAACGTTAAATATTTCATTTTAAGTGAAGATGCACAAAATGTATTACCTTGATTCGACCTTAGTCTATAGAGAAGTGATGCATTGACGACTAGAAGTACTGATGGAATGGCTGGCATACAGATTTTGTCCGTGCCGTTTATTTCTCGGCGACATTCGTCTACTACGAGACTTGAGAAGTTGAATGGATTCCTCAGGCAGCGTGAACACATGACGCAACTATGTGAAGATTGCAGTCGGAAAAACCCTAGAGTAAATATACCAGTGTTATCACAAATGGCTTAATTTATATACTTTTTTTTCTAGATAATCAATTTATTTCAATAAAAAGACAAAAGTTCACATAAGGCACATTTCGGTTTGGTATAACTTTTATTATATATCCCTACATGAACTTTTTTCTCTCGATATATCATCAATTTACACAAAATACCTTTCGAACATTCCCCACACTCCCTATCGTGAGTAGCATTGCACTCTTGTATAATTTCCTCATTAGGACCACAACGTCGACATTTCTTGCAGAAACCGATGTTGTGGTTATTTATATCCATGAAGGTACCTTGAGCGCATGATATACACAAACTTTGGTTGGTGGAGGACCTGTTAAAGTGAGTACCTTTGGGACAACTGTTACACATGACGTTGTTAATATTGTCGACTGGACAAGGAGCGCAAATTGTATCATGGCGTCTGGTGCACTTCCGTTTGACATAAAATCCGGGTGGACAGGTGGAGCATGATTTACACTGTGTATCTCTGTCTCGTTTACATTTTTTGTACATGTAAGTTTCACCTTTTAGGCACTTACGACATCTCTTGCAGTAGGTGTTTCTTTTATTTGAACACTTTCTGGCAATGAAATGGTGCCCTTTGCATTGTTTACATTTCTTACAGACGGTATTTTCAGTGGTCGAACAGCTGATTTTCTCATATTCATTCTTCTTACAAACTGAGCAGGTCTTGCAGCTCCGCAGAGTTTTGATATTTGGACAATTAATGGAACAGTTGATGTTTGTACCATTCATGCATTCTACCTGATCAGGCGCCACGGAACACTGTCTACATTTCTGACACGACTTCTCCCGGCGCGTCGCCCTGTAGAAGGTCCCGCTAGGACACTGCTCACACTCCGTGTCTGTGACGTTGCTACAAAATGACACCTCCCTGTAACCGTTCGGACACTCTCGGCAGGGTACACATTGGTAACCTAATGTGTTCTCAAACTGCCTTCGGAACTCATTCAATCCACATTGAGACATAACGGTGCAAAACTACAAAGAAAACAATAAATTTTATTCAACAAGAGTGAACAAGCTCTCTGATTGTCCATCTCAGCATTTTTTTAGACCTGGTCCCCTGCGTGGCGCAGTGGTTAGAGCGTCTGCTCAAGAGTCGCGAAGTGCAGGAGTTGATCCTTGCGTCGCGGGTTCGAATCCCACGGTGGCACGTGGAGACCGGTCCTTTGGATGAGACCGTATAAACTGATGTCCCGTGTCACAGTAAGTGCTGGCACGAAAAGGATCCCTCACTGCTCAATGGCCACCGAGTGTCGAGTACATGTGAGGACAAAATTTTCGAGAGGGACGTTAAACAATATGCATTCAATGAATCAATTAATATTTAGACCTACATATGATCAGGGTGTAATAAATACACATGAATTGCTCATGGATAGTTTCCTGTACTTAAATTACTCACAGTAATCTTTGTACCAGCAAACAGTAATTTAATGGTCTAACACGTGTTGTGATTTTTTTTTGTTTACTTACCATGAGGTTTGCTTTAAGTACAAAAGTCAGTGGTGATATCAGGTAGATTTTAGTGAACCCCATAGCAAAGCATGGCGAATCGAAAATACACAAACTCCGTGTTATTGCGGAATTTCCAGTTGACTCAGAAAAAATCTATTTTTATCATTTCCGCTTTTTGTTATAGAATGTATATGTGTTAAATATAGAACAATATTTTCAAGAAATCGACTTGTTTAAATTTAGAACAAAGGGTGTTTTAATAATAGTGTTTTGTAATTACTTATTCCATTTTTTAAAGCGAAGAACAGACACAAATAAATGTATATTTCTTTGTTTTCTTTTGTTTTTGCTTTTTTTTTTCTTTTGCAAATTTTTTGTAAAATATATGATATAATATTTATGAAGTTAAGTGATTTACAAAACATTAAGTATATAAACAACTGACGGAGAATTTATGACCGAATAATTCCACAAGTTGCCAAGATTTTACAACCCCGGAGCTGCACACAGTGTTTACAAGTGTTATAACAAGTGCTGTATTTGAAGTGCAACTTGTTCTCTCTCAAAACAGACACACAAGAGGTCTTTTTTGGATTTTTTTTTACATCATTAAATTGACAAGTATATTTCCTTATCTGTTAAAATATTGTTACACTTTTAATTTGACGTTAAATAGAGCATACTGGACGATTTAAGTATCTCTTAACATATGTATATGGCACGCCAAATTCACAAAAATGAGAAAATCATAGTTTCACAATCAATAAACTAGGTTTTGAAAAAAAATCATAGTTAACAACGTTACTATATTTTATAGGTCAAAAAAGATAAATGTTTCACAATTGATAAACTAGGTTTTTTATTAGTTTCGTAAACTATAGTTGAAAATTGAAGTAATAAGTTGTTAAGTTTTTTTTGATAAAAGTTTATCTGTCTGTAAAAGCGTTAACAAAGATTTTGTTGATAAACATAGATTCACGTTTGTAAACTATAGTTAAGAGTTGTTAATCATAGTTTCACAAATCGTGAAACTATATTTATATCGTTTAGTTAACGGTTTGTAAAATAGTTTACAAATCGTGAAACTCGATTTATCAGATAATATGTTTTGCAATCGCAAATGATAGTTTTCGGTGTTAAGTATAGTTTACGGTTGTCATAGATTATCCTTTAAAAAGAATGAATAATGCTGAAAATTTTTGTGAATTTGGCGTGCCATATTATATGTACATAAATATACATTTAAAAAATAACATTTATACATTTTAGATAAGAATGCAATTTCCTTTTTTATTATTCTTTGAAAATTAAAATATTAGATTAAGTTTATTTTTTAAAAAAAAGCAACAAAATTACGCTAATTTTGAAATATTGTTTATGTTATTGAAGTATCGGTTCTAAGAATAATATATATTTTTTGTTTTATTTGGATTATCGTTCTTTTTAAAGGATATACTTCAATAACCATGATTGACGTTCTTGGAATAGCGATGACAGTGGTTGGAAATCTGAGAATTATGTTGAATTTCCATTACGTAAATTGTTTCTTCCTTGTTTATTACCTGTATGCGGTGTTTGTTTTGAAGTTATTTTTAGACTGTCATACCTGGGGATTTACCAACACAGACCTGAGTAAACGTTGTGTGCATACTAACTAGGCTGAACTCAGGTATTTACGTTGTTTCTTATCATACACCGTTTTCCAACTTTTTTCCCTTATCATTTTTGGTTGGGAAACACTGTGATTACTCTATTTAAGTGAAATTGTAAACTCCATCATGACTTCGTCGGACGACGACCCTGACTTGTCCGAAGCTTCGGGACTCCTTTGTATTCATTGTAACGAGGACGAGGTGAAGTGGACGTGTGATGACTGTTCCCGCGAATTCTGTGACAAGTGTAAACGCATTCACCTGATTGCGGACGAGGAAACCCAGAATCACCACTTGTTTCGTTACGGAAGTAGCCGTTCTTCCGGTCCCAGGCTGCCGGATGTCATACACCATTCTGCGCGGTCTGTCATCGAAACACGGCGACCAAGGATAAGATTTCAACCTGTTGTCAAATCTCATGTCTCAGATTTCAAGCCCAGGTCGAATTTTGTAGAAAACAGCACCGTACAACATATAAGGGTTGTCCCAAGGGGAAACGGCGAGGCGTGGTTAAAATGTGGAGCTATTTCCGAGGAACTAGTGTTACACGACAAGGATGGCAGCTTTGTGGACAAAGTGCATGTCGGGGGCGTGATCCAGGACTTTGTGGTCACAGGAAAAAGGGAGATAATATTTACTAAAATACGCAGCAATACTGTATGGTTGTATAACAAGAGGGCCGTCATACGACCTTTATATCAGGTGGATTTTTTCCCGAACTGTTTGTGTCTCACTCCGGACGACGACCTACTTATCTGCGCGGCCTCGACCCAGCAATGTCAAGGTCGTCCCGTTATAAAGCTATCCAAATCCTCCGAAAAAAGCGTTATCCCGGTTGACCAAAGCGTGAAATTAGGTGACATTTATGACTTGGCGCAGTCAGCCAATGGAACATTATGCTTAGTGGAGAAAGGCGGCTGGGGGCCGGGGAGAGTTATCGGACTTGACAAAGATGGCCAGCAAATATTTGAGTACAGAGGTCCTTCCGGTTCCCTGAATCCTTCCGGAATATCATGTGACCCTTTTGGATTTATTTACATAAGTGACTGTGGTTGTCATAACGTACACGTGATAAGTCAGACCGGACAGTTCCGGTCCTTCTTACTTCCGGTGGATTCAATAAAACTTCCGGAGGCCATTGATGTGGGCGATGATGGTGTTCTATGGGTTGGAAATGGAAATGGGGAACTCAAGGTTTACGAATTACAACCTGACTCCAGTCAATAGCTTAAATGCTAACGTCTTCAAATACACTTGTATATGATAACTAAATAATATACATATTAAGAGTGTCTTGCCTTTGTATATTTTCAGTGTCTGCTTGTATTTTATATATATGAACTATATTTAGCAATTGTCCGAAAAACGCAAGTTCAAATTTTACAGGTATAATTAAATTCATGAATTTTCATTTCAAATGTCAGTTTTTTTGTTCTCTCATATATGTGTTCCGGATAAGACAGGGTATTTCACTGAAAAAAAATCATGATTGTATAGTATCGTTCAATCATACGCTCGGCTGTCTCAGTAATTCTCCTACCAGCAAAGAGGCTCTGCAAGCTGATTTACGGAGACAGCCGAGTGTCTGGTTAAACGCGACTGAGACCGTGTACAGACGATTATTTTCTAGGTATCATCTTTGCTATTGATCGGTACCGGTATCTCCGTATAACTGGATCTGTGTGTACTTACCAAGAATGGGCATTAGCTTTATTTACCAGTCATAAATCATACATGTACACCGGTATATTGCAATATGACAGAAGTCTGCCGCTCTATGGAAAGAGATGTGACGTGAATAAAATATGGAGATGACGAATGTGGTATTCAAGCTCAAAGTCCATATAAACAATACAAACCAGGGGCAGAGCAAAACGGAGCTCCAAGAACACTAGACGTGGGATCAGATGCAATGAAGGAGTGAGCATGCCGAACATTAAACTAGTCATGGTATTATAGTGCAAATTAATGGAGTCGCCGGTGACCAAATTTGTATGTGATCGCATGGTCGGCCTACTCTTTTTTTTTAATTGACAACAGTTATAATGAAAACCTACATAAATACATTTATTGTATTTTTAATTTCTTTTGTTTCAATCAAATTTCCATAGCAGACGTCATTGTTTTCACTTATTTCACTCTAAAATACAGTCTTGAACGTTGTCTTAAGGCGGGGCTGAAACTTTTTTCAATACAGAATTTGGGAATGTAACTGCTAATTTTATAATTCAGAAATTTCCCTATGTCCATTTGAAAGGCCAGGTATTAGCACCATTTTAATAATAAATTCTTCTCTATGCAAAAAATGGACCCCCGCCCCAACACATACGACATAATACGACATAATATTGTCGAGTTTTGACATTTACGTGGTTTTATGATTTTATTAGATCAGAGACCACATGTGCTTATTCTCTTAATGCGTGAGTAAGGTTTCCGTCCGTCCGTCCGTCCGTCCGTCTCTCTGTAAACAATTTTTCAAAACGCTACTCATTTTGGGTCTAATTTCAGTATAACTTGGCACATACGTAGATTACACTAAGAAACATTATTTAGTGCATCGGTTTTTGATTTCAATGAATTGTGTTGCCATTTCTGTGAATTTCCTATAAAACGCTACGTCTTCTAGTTTTGGTCTGATTTCAGTATGATTTGGCATACAAGCCTATTTCTATTTATTGATGCCTGTTGCAAAGTATCAAATCCAAATGCTACTTTTTGTTATAAGTATAGACCAGTAGAGCTACAGTCTCATCAGAGACTTCTGGTGTTTGGTTTGCTTCGCTCCTCAAAAACTTTTTTTGGAAATTATTGAAATTTTTCCTCCCTCCTCTCACCTGAAATACGTGTGTGTTAGGGAGTGTTTCCAAGAAGAACCATAGACTTGTCGTAGTTTAGTTTTCGCAAGGTTTAACAATTTTCACCAAAAAATCTAAATTGTTTCCAGATTATGTAATATTATTAGAAATTCTTGGTTTTGGCATTTTTTGATTTATTTCAATTAACATCGACAATATCAGCTCTATACTATATGGTTTTGTCTACAAAATATGGTATACAATGAACTTATAACAATAACAAGTGAAACATTAAAAAGTTTAACTGACTCAAACGTAAACAACTGGGCAATGCGCATGTGTATGTACGCTCTAAATAATATATCTAAAGAAGCTTTAAAATTCAGCAAGCGCTGTCATCTTCTTCACTAGAACTCGAACTTCCGGTCCTTTCTTCTAATTCTGAATCATGGCCGGGGCTTCCTGCTTTCTTCTGCCTGCGTCTCCCGCGTCTGTCGTCTGTGGAACTCAGAAGTGTGCCGATCCTGGAGAGACTGAACTTCTGATTTAACCAGCTCAACCGACCTCCCTCATTGTCTGCAAATAAAGTCAGATCAATAAAATATTCAATCTATATTCAGTTTATCAGATTTTTAGAGAAATATGAGCGGAAATGTTTATGCAAAATAACCCTACCTTTTACCAAAAAAATACTTTTTTAAATTAAAAAATTACACAGTGTCCTTGGGTGAAGAGGCTATAAATTTATTCAAACGAAGGACCAATTCCTCAATTCTGAGGGGAGATAATTAAGAAATAGTAAAATTTAGGTGGGGTCATTTAAAAAGAGGCCTATGGGTCACATCGTTCACTTGAGCACATCGTCTAGGAAGAAGCAAGTATCAGTGAAGTATTGTAAAATTTTAAGAGGCAAACTTCAATTTACATTACCTCAGGATGCTTCTATATCAGTATAACTAACCATAGCTTTGCTGTTCTTAAACAGAAGAATTTTAAAGATTTTATCTCTATGTTTTTCCTATGTAAATCTTTGATCACTCATTGCGGACTCACCTACCCACCCTAAATTCGAAAAAAGAATTGAATCTACACCACCAGAAGATGCTTCTATAATAATATGACTAATCATGCATGACTTTGCTTTTCTTGAGATTTTTTTTCAAGATGATTTCTACATATTTTAAAACAAAGCTTTGACCCTCTGTTCAGTCCCCAACCCCTGGAGTCATAATTTGAACAATCTTGATTCCACAATACAGAAGGTTACTTCTGTATAAATATAACTAATAATCAAATGGCTTAATATTTCCTGAGAAGATTTCAAAGATTCCCTATGTAACGTGTATGATCAGGTTCTTACAAGAGATACATAGGTTTTCCTTTTATACCCTGTCTGAGTTAATGATTTGAATGATTATAAAGACAGCCTGTCTGTGGGTATATCACACAGTGGTTCTAGAGATTGGGACTGGGTGAGGTACTAGTAACCATGCTAACACCGTGTTTCTCCCCCATGTTCCAGCTGATAGATAATTAAGAACCAGTTGTCTCCTTCTTCAGATCTACTACACCCAGAACTACAAATCTATTCCTCGGGATACACGCTACTGGTGTTTATAACTTTTACTTTCTCTTTACCTTTAAGGTTTTCCATCCTCTATCCTTAAATGTCCATCACATACATAATACTCTGATATTACTTTAAAGCATTTTACGGTATAGAAAAGGATTTATCAGAAGAAAGTTTTAACTTAGGGGTAAGTACTAAACAGATTGCATTGAATTCCATGGTGCAATAAAAAAAATCCAAATAATAAGGACACTAATAGATACTGTAGTGGGAAAATGCACTAAAATACATTAGAAAACACATAACAATAATGAAAATGATTTTCTTTATAGGATTTTTTTTCTAAATTGATTTTTTCTTATTTAAAAACTGGTCAGTTCCAAAATTCAAGGTCACAAATTCCACTCTTACATGCTTATAGTAATAAACGGGAATCATGTCTAAATTTTATAAACTGAGTATTAAACACCTACACATCTGTTTTGTATTTAATTTCACTGAATATTTTACTATTAGGATGGTATACCTTAATTTTTATTGCTGATTCAACATCCAACTTCACCTACCTTTTGAATTTCTGATTTTCCCAAAGCTTTACCTTATATATACCCTTAGGCTAGTTTATTTCAAGGATTTTCAGATTATTCTACTATTTGAAGTCTTCAATGCGTTTTACTCTATTGCCCCTTCTCCATTAGTCCTTTATACATGTATTCCAGTATTAACCTTGACCCACTTTTGTGGCCCCGACCTACACCCAGGTATCATGATTTACCGGTAATACATCTTGAATCTAAATTACATGTGGCTACGCCTATTTTTATATGACTAATAACGGCTAACCTGTTCTTGAACAGATTTTTAATTATTTCCTAGTTTTACCCCTTGTTGTGGCATCCATATCCCCCCCCCTCCCCAGTGGTCATGACAAATGCATGAAGGATATGGAGATAACGAACAGTATTCAATATCAAAGTCCATTAAACAATACAAAATAGGAGCAGAGCAAACACGGACATCCGAAACATCAGAGGTGGGATCAGGTGCCATGGAGGAGTGAGCATCCCCTGCTGAGCGGTCACATCTGCCGTGTACTCCTTGTCATGATTGGGAAATAACGGAAAAATCCGTCGTCAATTCAGTGTATAAATAATGGATCAACAATTAGTATGAAGAACGTCAGTCAGCATTTGACTCAATGATAAATTGTATTTGCTGACAAGGTTATTGTATCGACCATAGAAGTTACGAAATGATGACTTTAAACGAGACTGTTGATATTCTTGTTTCATCAACTTGCTTGTAAATATAAATTTACCTCGTTTTAGAAATTGTTCATACGTAGAGTATGCTCTTGCGTATCGAATCAACTGAGATATATATACTCCGTATGCAGGTGATGAAAGTATATTGCTGCAAAAGTAAGAGAAGTTGACGATAGAAAAGTTAAAGTCATCACCTTTATCATAGAGCTTGATTGTTAGATTACCATTCACGTCTTTTTAAAGTAAAATATCCAAGTATGAAACAGATGTGTCAGACTCTGTGGTATATTTTATCTCGAGCTCACAAGGATATATCGTATCGAGGTAGGAATGGAAATTACCATTATAAATTGAATTCTTTTAGATATATCGACGACGTATTATCAATTAACAATGGTAATTTCCATTCATACATATTGTCAATCAGAAACTCAAGCATCTCTTTGATGTCAGCTTCAGAGTGTGTGCAATCAGAATGTGTTTTAACAAAATAATTTTGCAAATGACCAATGACCAGGTAAGTAAATTTACGAGTTCCAATTTTTATTGAAAAAGCAGCTGTCAGTGAGTCGATCAGTGCATCTACACTTCCTA